CCGTTGACTGTCAATGGTAGAGAGGAAGCCACTGATGGGTGGTTCATGGGCGAGCACCTGGAGGATTTGAAAAGCAGCTCTCGGCACAGCTCAGACTCCTAGTTGGGGGACTCAGGCCCCTACTTGTGTGGGGCAGAGGCACAGCGACCCAAGCTGGGCTTAGCGTAAAAACCCTCATTCTCTGCAAGGCAGCTTGGTGGGGGAGATGCAGGCGCAGAGTTCCCCAGCTGGTGTGAATGCATCATAGCTCAGCTGGAGTCAATGGGCCAGATCCCCAGCTGGTGTATAAAGACACAGAGAAAGTCCCTGCCCCCAAGATCTCACAAGCTATAGGAGCTAGAGAGAGAAAGGCAGAAAGTGGAAAGAGAGTCAAAGGGAGGGGAAGGGGGTTTCCCAAGGTTATACAGACGGGGATAGAACCAGCAGCCCTGAACCCCATTCCAGCTGGTTATCCACCAGACCACACTGCTTATCAAATGCACTGACTTTATTGGCACCACTGTGGGTTTACATTCACTGACGTAACCAGATATAGGGCTGGGAGTCCTCGTGCTGTTCTTTCCCTCTTGACACTCCTTAAAACCTATGGCCACACACATTAAAAGCAACGGGTTAATCCTGGAGGGGAACTTTTCTTTAGGAAATGGAATTTTACAGGGAAAAGTCCCTTCTCTGGACCACATGGCATCATCCACCGTTTTCAGCAATGGAAGAATCCACCGGCAGCGAAGGGAAAAACGCCCCCAGCTTTTGGGAAGTGCAGCTCCCTTGGGACAGAGATGATGGGTCAGTTTCCGGCTGGCCCTGGGTCCGGCTGCGGTTTTGGCTGTTCTCCTCCAGAAGGCACCGCAGCACAGTCAGCGTGGCTCTCCATAGACAGAGCGCACCAGTTTATTCCAGCCTCTGGTGTCCCGTGGCGGAGTTCTCCTGCCAGCCCCTCAGACGCGGTGAGGCATGTGGGGGCTCAGCCAGGGGCGCTGGAACAATGTGTACAGTGGGGTGCTGAGAACCATTGAACCAAACTGTAAACCCTGGATCTGATGGAAACCACTTCAAGCCAGGGGGTGCAGCAGCCCCCACTCTCCCCCCAGCACCCTTAGTTCCAGCACCTGTGGGCTCAGCGGCAGGGCAGGTATTGAGGGGAGGGGAGGCTCATGCTTGGCCCCTCCTCCAGCTGTGACATCACTGCCTGATGTCTGACCTTCACCATTCAGGCACCGGCTCTCTCGCCTCCCTCGGCCCAGGGCTGCAGGTGGAGGAGAAGAGCTGCCGCCTGGGTGACTCTCTCCCAGGCTGGCTGGAGAGAAAAGCGACGGCTCCCTGCAGAAGAGCCGAGACGCTGGGGGGATGGTCACGATCCCGGGCTCAGCCATTGTGCTGATTTGGCTTTTCAGTGAGTACAATTCCAAATCCCATTTCTGAAAGATTCTCCACATGCCTCCCCCTTCATTACTGGTGCCGAGAGATTAAACAGACCTTCCTCCTCCTCCTCCTCCTCTGCAATAAGGGATGCTCTCAGGCAGGGATTTAGGTGCCCAAATCCCACTGGAATTGAATTTCAATGGATTCTGGGAATCTAAATAAAGGGGAGGGTGATCTGTTGTGCTCCTTGTCTACAGAGTATGGGACAAGAAATAACTGGCTTAGTTTGCAGGAAGGGAGATTTAGATTAGATGTTAGGAAAACCTTTCTAACTATAAGGAGAGTGGAGCTCCAGACAGATTAAGTAGGGAGGCTGTGGGATCCCCATCGCTGGATGTTTGAAGATCAGGTTAGACAAACACCTGTCAGGGGTGGTCTCATGGCCAGGGGGGAGCACTGCAGGACCTCTTGAGGTCAGCCTGACATTTCTATGATTCCATGAAATCTCTGCAGATCCTTAAAAACCCCTTGAACAAAGAACTCCCCTCAGTGACAGCATCCTCCGACTAACCTCTCTTTCCCCCTCTCCTTGTGCCAGGCTCCAGCATGGAAGATGCTGTAACTCAGACCCAGCCTTCAGTGTCAGGGGTGGAGCGCGAGCCCGTTTCCCTGGACTGCACTTATGAAACAGCTGCTAGCAGTTATTATTTGTATTGGTACAAACAGCCCCCTGGGGAAAGCCTTCTTTTCCTTTCTTGGCAACATTCTGGAGGAACAAAGAGGAATGAGGCCGGGGAGAGATTCTCTGTTAATTTGGAGAAGTCCAAAAGCTCCGTCAGTTTGAGAATCACAGCTCTGGAGTTGGGGGATGCGGCCATGTACTTCTGCGCTTTCAGGAGAGACACTGTGTTGAAATTCATACGGAGCCCTGAACAAAAACCTGACACCTCTCCGCTACTGTAAGAAACTGACTCCTGCAGGTGAAGTTAGGAGGCGAGCACGGGCAGGAAAGGGGTGAGGGGGTGGGGGTCGGGGGAGGGCTATGAAGTGGGGTAAGACCTGCCACAGCTGGGTTCCTGGAGATGAAAACGTCTTCCTGATTTCTGGGAAAAGGCGGCACCACAATGGTACTCAGAAATTCGCCGCAAAGAGGAGATGGAACAAGACAAAAGCAGAATAAGATCCCATGGCTGGAAGCCGGAGAGAGACAAATTTAGATTAGAAAGAAAGTGCACATTTTTAACAGTGAGGGTAATTAAACACTGAAACAACTTACCAGGGGACACGGTGGATTCTCCATCTTTTGAAATCTTGAAATCAAGACTGGGTGTCTCTCCTCTAGTCAACCACAAGATATGGGCTGGGTACAAGAATCACAAGTATAATTCTCTGGCCTTTGTTAACGCAGGAGGTCAGACTACATGATCACAAAGGTCTCTTCTCACTTTAGGATCCATGCATCAAGCAATGTATTAATATCTCACGGGGGTGGGGGCGAAGGCTGGGATGGATTCCTTCTGGCGTTAGGGACCCCAATTCTAATTAAAACCAATGTATGCTTGGCATCTAAATCCCCTAGGCTGCTTTGGAAATGCAGCTGAAATTCCATCCTGGGTTGACACTTAACCGCACTTGAGCTTTCAGTGTATGGACTTAATTGGGACCTGGGGCTCGCACTGGCCCCTCTGCATAGGGAAAAACATCACCATATGGGCAGAAGAGCTGAGTCATTCCTGGAAAGAGAGTTCCCAGATTTATATTGCGGCTGGCATTTTCAAAAGGGCCTCGAGGATTTAGATTATCGTATTCCATTAAAATTCAAGAGAGGATTTGGGAGTATAAATCCCTTGGGCTATTTTGGAAATCACAACGTGGATGCTCAGTCTGCATTAATTTTAATGGGAATCAGACATCTAATTCCTGTAGGCTGATTTCAAAATCTCAGCCTGCCTTTTCAAGTCACAAGGAAATATAAACTGCATTGAAAGTGGACGGTTCCCCTTTACCTAAAAACAGAGCTTCCTCAGGCCATGCTGGATTGATCTGAAAGGAAATTGTGATTAAAAATGGGGCAAACCCCGGGCTGAAAGCAAACAACAGGCTTGTGATCATGCCAGATCATCTGGCGGCCATTTCGTTCCAATTTGACAGCTGCAGGAATTAATGGAATATGGTGCAGGAGTTTTCCCCACTGTTTTACTATTAAATATAAAGGCACATCCTCATTTCAGTCTGGGCATTGAAATGTTGTTTAGACACACAACTACTTATGTGTTTCACAGACACACACAAAATCTGTCACACAAACAAACTCACAAAGGCTCTCTCTTTCCCTCTCTCTTACATACACAAATTCATACATATGTGAACTCACAATTCACGCAAACAAAGCCACTCACACCCATAATCACATATATACCAAAGTTGCTCTTTCGTACATCAAACACCCACAGTCACTCACACACACACGTCCAAATTCTCTCATTGCCACACTCACAAAATGACACACTCACTCACACACAAACTAGCACATATACCAAAATCACTCACATGCAGATCAGACACAAATGCACACTCTCAAAATCTCAGATATAACAAACTCACCTCACTCTGCTCTCACTCACAGAGGTAGCTGCTTGAGTCCCCCAGCTGGGAGTCGGTGATGTGCAGAGGGCTGCATTTCCCATCTTCCAGGGGCTGCCCCACTAACCGCTGCTCGGTAACATTCTCCTGAGGCCAGCAGGTTATGAACCCATGTTCTGTTGAATTCAAGGTTGGGATTGCCAAAGACAGCTATAGGATCTAGGTAGCCAAACTTCACTGAAATTCAACAGGACATGGGTTCCTAACTCCCTTGGGTCCTTTGAACATCCCAGGCTAAATCCATTCATGTCTGTGGGGTGCTGAGATACTGCGGGACTTGGATTGGGGGAGAGAGAGAAAGAGACAAAAGCACCTTTTAAAATATTTTCAAATGATCCCAAGGGAATTAGGTGCTCAACTCACAGTGGGATTCAAGGGAAATTGGACTACTAACTTCCTCAGAAATCTTTGACCATTCCAGGCTAAAACTGTCTGAATTAGGTATTTCTCTGGCCCATAGTGTCTACCCACCTCACAATCTTCACTTTATTTGTCCATACAACACCCCTGCGAGGTGGGAAAGTTACCCCCATTTTATGGCTGGGGGTCTGAGGAAGAGAAGGGCAGATTTTTAAAGGTCTTTAGGTACCTAGTGGGATTTTTCAGAAGTGCCTCGGTGCCAAACACCCTTTGAAATCAGTGGGGGTTAGGGTTCCTGGGTGTGTCTGAAAACCCCACTAGCCATTCCTTTAAAAACATGGCCCTGAGTGACTTTCCCAATTCCCAAAGCCCCCAGAATGCCTGGGGTGGAGGAAGGACTCGAACCCAGGCCTTGGCTAACATTAGAGCCCCTGGACCCTCCTGCCTCCTCGCAGCGGGTGCTGTTGAGATATTCCCAAGGAAGCCCCTCGTGCTGGGTGCCTTTGTCCGCGCTGGGGCTGTACAGCTGTGGGAGGGCAGCTGAGCTTGTGCAGGAGCAAGCTGAGGCTGCCACAGGACCCTAGGCTGGGGGTGTCACATGCTGTGTCTGAGGAGAAAAGGAAAATCAGGCCGAGATGAGCCAGGCACCATTGCACGCCAGTGCCCGGCTGCTACCGGTGCCAGAAATTCACCTCACCGCCCTGGGAATCAAGAGGCTGCAAAGCCCCTGGGTCTTTCTTCCTTTGCACTGTAAGTTTCTGCTCAGAACACTCTGGGCTCCTCCAAGGCAGCTGCTTCGCTTGTAGGACATTGAGGCAGAAATGAGTGGAGACGTATTTGATTCAGTTCCCTGCTCTGTTTGATTCAGAGTTACACCACCTATATATGGGAAAGAGGGGGCTGCCAATGGGACACACTCCGTGCCTGATCTACTTACAGAGTCATCTTGTCCCGGGGTTCTTTGTTAGCATTTCTTGCCTCTTTTCAGACTGGGGAAGATTCTAGGTGGAGAGAGATAGGGTGCATGGGTCAATGGATGGACGGAAAGGTGCTTCAGAGGGAAGGATAGGGAGATAGCACATAGGGAAGAATGGTCAGATAGGTAGACAGGCAAAGTAACACACTCTCACCTACACTTGAATGCTACATTTCAACTGTTCTTTTGTTTCCCTTCAGTCTCCTGATGGGAAGCCCAAGTGGATCGGAGCCCCCAGTCGCTGGTTACTGGGGGGGGGGGGGTCTCCACCCTGTCCTGCGCGTTCACCACCAAGTACCAAACCTTCCACTGGTACCAGCCGCTCCCTGGGCGAGGCCTGACCTACCCGCTGGCCGTGAGCCCTCAGGACAACGCTACCGAGCAGCGGTTCGTGGGGCAGCCCCTGGAAGATGGGAAACGCAGCCCTCTGCACATCACCGACTCCCAGGTGGGGGACTCAGGCAGCTACCTCTGTGCAGTGAGAGCAGAGTGACACAGGCAGAGCGGGGCTCAGGGCAAAAACCCTCATCCTCTGACAGGCAGCTGGGCCGAGGAGCTGCAGGGACGGATCCGCAGCTGGTGTAAAGTGGCTGTTGCTCCACTGGAGTCACTGAATCAGACCCCCCAGCTGGTGCAAATCAGCAATATCTTCATTTACATCACTGGGCCAGATCCTCATCTGGTGCGACTCAGACGCTCTCGATTGGAGCTAATGGGGCAGGTCCTCAGGGGAGTAAATCAGCTGTAAACTCCACTGGAGTAAAGGGGTGCAGCTGTGTGTGGACGGCTCTATATCATTCCCATGAACGTTTAGTTGGGATTCCCCTGCAGCAAATAATGCCCCCTCCCCCTCTTCCCCCCCGCTTCTCTAACCGGACAGCAGATGGCGCTAGAGGGCTCACCCTCCTCCCCTGCAGACCCTGGTTAATTCCCGCAGCCTGAGGTCCGGGCTGTCCTCAATGTCCCCAGCCCAGCCCAGGTCACAGAGCTGCCGTTCCTCCCCGGGGCACACAATGAAACGGCAGCCTCTGTAGGCGGAGAATCCTTCCCCTTGAGAAGGCTGAAACCTGAGGGGAGGGAGAATTCTCATTTCCACTGGCCTCCTGAAAACCTTCCACGGATTGACTCTGCCTCGGTATATTCCTCTGCAAGGGAGAGAAGAAACGGAGCTCACCATGGCCTCAGGGAGTGGAACTGCTCTGTGGAGCCTTCTCCTCACCTTTGCTTTTCTCTGTGAGTGAAACAAATATTTTCTCATTTTAAAGGGTAAAAAGATGCAGACTCTTAGACGTCAGTGGGGGGCAAGACCTCTTAAATGGATATATCTAAGAGCTAATGCACCCCTAAGGAGAGAGGGGTCTGCAAATATCTCAGCCTCTGTTCTATTTAAACAGTAATATTTATTTGGAGTTATTTGTTAACATTTCTTGTCCTGCTTTTTTTAAGATTCGGGGAGAGTACAGAGAAAAATAAACAGATGTTGATGGAAGGATCTATATCTGTATACCTATCTGTATCGATATATCCACGTGTAGTTATAGATACTGGGGATGGAACAATAGAAGGATGGGTGGAGGCTGAAGAAGGAAGGCTGGATAGATACATCCACAGATAAACAGGCAACTCGCATGCTCTTCATGTTAACTGCTATTATTTTGTTTCCCTCCAGTCTCCTGCTGCGAAGCCCAAGTGGTTCAGAGCCCCGAGTGGCTGGTTACAGGGGACGGGAAGGTCTCCACCATGTCCTGCTCTTTCACCAGCGCTTACCAAATCTTTTACTGGTACCAGCAGCTGCCTGGGCAAGGGCCGACCCACCTGCTGACCGCGAGGTCTAATGACAATGTCACTGTGGGGAGGTTCATAGGCGAGCGCCTGGAAAACGGGAAACGCAGCTCTCTGCACATCACCGACTCCCAGTTGGGGGACTCAGGCAGCTACCTCTGCGCGGTGGATGCACAGTGACACAGGCAGAGCTGGGCTCAGGGCAAAAACCCTCAGCCTCTGACAGGCAGCTTGGCGGACGAGGTGCGGGGCAGATCACCAGGTGGTTTAAAGCAGCGCAATTGCATGGCAGCCAAGGGGACAGATGCTCAGCTGTTATAAATGGGCAGAGCTCCATTGGAGTCAATGGGCCATATCATAAGGACACGGAGATTGGCACCGAGGTTGCAGATCCTGGGACAGCTGTGTGAAGATCAGCCTAAATCTGGTGTCACTCCACATGTGCTCATTGTGGTGACTAGATCACAACAAATAAAAAAAAAACATTTTCTTTCCTTTTTTTCCTCCACTTTCTACAGCAAAGTTTATTACTAAACATAACTAGAGAGAAACCATCTTCCTGTGAGCTGTAGCTCACGAAAGCTCATGCTCAAATAAATTGGTTAGTCTCTAAGGTGCCACAAGTCCTCTTTTTCTTTTTGCGAATACAGACTAACAGGCTGCTACTCTGAAACCCATCTTCCTTTACGGAACCGAATACAAAATTTCCTTTGCGTGAAAGCTGTAAAATCATCCGCGTTTCAATAGCAACAATAAACAAACAAAACTAACCTAGCCCCTCCCCCCACTCTCCTTCCCTCAGAAACCGCGACTCCTCTAGGAAAGTCGGAACAAAGTTTTCTGCTCCCCGTAGCGCCTGCAGTTCAGACAAGAGCCCGGCAGAGGGCGCTCCCCGCCGACCGGAAAGCTCCAGAAACGAGCGCGCTCCCTGGTGTTTCTGGACGTCTAGTTCTCCCCCTGCCCCGCCCCCCCAGCCGCCCCCGCTCGCCCCCCGCCGCCCCCCGCCACCCCTCCCGGACCCTGCGAGACTTTCTAGCAGCTCAGCGCGAAGGCAGCTACCAACCAAGCTCGGAGAGATTTGAGGCTTGACGCCAAGAGTCACGATTTAATTCGGAGCGGACGCAGCGTTCCCGGATTCCTTCAGCCCTCAGAAGACAGAGGTCGGCTTCCCTCTGCGAGGAAAGGGCCTAATTAGTTTCTTATGACATTGCTGGCGGGCGGGGGCGGGGTGCCTGAGTGGAGAGAAAAGGAGCGCTCCCTGCAAAAGCGCAGAGACACCGAATCTTCATTGAGAGGATGCTTAAAACCTTGGTCTCCAGGATTGTGCTGCTCCTTGTTTCCAGTGAGTCAGGGCATGGCTACACTTCCAGATGTAGAGCACTTTGAGTTAAACCAGCCTTTGGAGAGCAAGTAGGGAAAGCGCTGCAGTCTGTCCACACCAACAGCTTCCAGTGCACTGGCCAGGCCACATTTTGCACCTGCAGCATTGGGGGTGGTGCATTATGGGTAGGTTTCAGAGTAACAGCCGTGTTAGTCTGTATTCGCAAAATAAAAGGAGTATTGTGGACCTTGGACTAACCAATTTATTTCAGAGCTTTGTGAGCTACAGCTCACTTCATCAGATGATACGTGGAAACTGCAGCGACTTTATATACATAGAGAATGAAACAATACCTCCTCCCACCCAGTGGAACCCAGTGGGAGGAGGTATTGTTTCATATTCTCTATGTATATATAAAGTTGTGCAGTTTCCACGTATGCACCCGATGAAGGGAGCTGTAGCTCACGAAAGCTCATGCTCAAATAAATTGGTTAGTCTCTAAGGTGCCACAAGTACTCCATTATGGGTAGCTATCCCAGCATGCAAGTGACTGAAACATGCTTTTCTAATGGGGGGCGTGGGGTGGAGTGTGACAGGGAGTGTGTTGTGTGTATGTGGGGGGGAGAGTGGGTTGGGGGGAGAGAAAGTAGGTTTTTGGGGGGCTGAGAGCATGTCAGCATGCTGTCTTGTAAGCTCACACAGCCGCAGACTCCCCTCCCCCCACCTCTGTCTCACACACAGCATTCCATGCTAGTGGCTTGCTTTGTCTCGGAGCAGATAAGCAGCCGGATGTCAGAAACGGAGCTTTCAAAGGGCACATCCACATTCCTGCAGCGATTCAAAAACAATGACAAGAGTGGCCACTTGACTTAAGGGGATTATGGGACTTTGCCGGAGGCTGATCAGAGAGCAGCAATGCAACACCTCGTTCACACTGGCTCCATGGCGCTCCAGCTGGGGCACAGCAACCATTATTCCAGTCGCCGAGGTGGAGTACCAGCAGCATCAGAGTCAGAGCACTCTGCGTGCCTTGCCAGTGTGGACAGGTAGTGAGCTAGTGCGCCCCTTTATTGCACTGTAACTCGTAAGAGTAGCCAAACCCTCAGATTCCCATGTGGTATTGCTGGGCATTATCCCCCACTCCCCCGCCGGTATTTATTAATTTTCACCTGTGTCCGGGTGTCCTTCTTGATGACACTTCACGCTGCTGCTGCTGCTGATAGTTTCCCTGTCTATGTCTGGAGGATTTTCATGCTCTGTTTTTATTTTATTCCCAGGCGTAGTGGTGGATGCAAAGGTTTCTCAGCCTGCTGCGCTGTCTTTCCTGGTGTGGGGCGGGGCTGACCTCCCCTGTAACCACAGTGTAGCAGGCTACAAAAGAAAATTATTTGGTACTATCAGAACCCTGGAGCTGCCGCTTGAGCTGTGATCTCTGGCTACAACTCTGCCGAACTGAACCTCACCTGCTCTCATGCCTCAATCAAGATGAATGACAACGTGTTTTGGTACCAGCAGTTCCTGAACCGAGGACCACAATACATAGCTTCTGGTACCAGGAAATCATTAATAGCCCCAAGCCCGAGGGAGCTTTGCACATCCCCATAGACAGAAAATCCAGCACCCTGGTCTTACACATGATGAGGCTGGCAGATGCGGCGGTGTATTACTGTGCTGTGGAAAACACAGTGTGACAGCCAGGTCTAAGAAAAATCCTCTCAGGAGAGAACGTAAGAACAAAAGAATGGCCATACTGGGTCAGACCAGAGGTCCACCCAGAGCAGTATCCTGTCTACTAACTTTGGCCAATGCCAGGTGCCCCAGAGGGAGTGAACCTAACAGGTAATAATCAAGTGATCTCTCTCGTGCCATTCATCTCCAGCCTCTGACTAATAGAGACTAGGGACACCATTCCTTACCCATCCTGGCTAATAGCCATTAATGGACTTAACCTCCATGAATTTATCCAGTTCTCTTTTAAACCCTGTTATAATCCTAGACTTCACAACCTCCTCAGGCAAGGAGTTCCACAGGTTGACAGTGTGCTGAGTGAAGAAGAACTTCCTTTTATTTGTTTTAAACCTGCTACCCATTAATTTCATTTGGTGGTCCCTAGTTCTTATATTATGGGAACAAGTAAATAACTTTTCCTTATTCACTTTCTCCACACCACACATGATTTTATATACCTCAATCATGTTCCCCCTTAGTCTCCTCTTTTCCAAACTGAAAAGTCCTACCCTCTGTAATCTCTCCTCATATGGGATCTGTTCCAAACCCCTAATCATTTTAGTTGCCCTTTTCTGAACCTTTTCTAATGCCAGTATATCATTTTTGAGATGAGGGGACAGCCAGTATTGCTTATGCTGTATTCAAGATGTGGGCATACCCTGGATTTATATAAGGGTAATAAGATATTCTCTGTCTTATTCTCTATCCCTGTTTCAATGATTCCTAACATCCTGTTTGCTGTTTTGACTGTCGCTGCACACTGCATGGATGTCTTCAGAGAACTATCCATGATGACTCCAAGATCTTTCTCCTAAATTAGCCTCCATGCATATTGTATGCATTACTTTACATTTATCCACATTAAATTTCATTTGCCATTTTGTTGCCCAGTCACTTATTTTTGTGAGATCTTTCTGAAGTTCTTCACAGTCTGCTTTGGTCTTAATTATCTTGAGCAGTTTAGTATCATCTGCAAACTTTGCCACCTCACTGTTTACCCCTTTCTGCAGATCATTTATGAATAGGTTGAATAGGATTGGTCCTAGGACTGACCCTTGGGGAACACCACTAGTTACCCCTCTCCATTCTGAAAATTGACCATTTATTCCTACCCTTTTTTCCCTGTCTTTTAACCAGTTCTCAGTCCATGAAAGGATCTTCTCTCTTATCCCATGAGAACTTAATTTACATAAGAGCCTTTGGTGAGGGACCTTGTCAAATGCTTTCTGGAAATCTAAGTACACTATGTCCACTGGATCCCCTTTGTCCATATGTTTGTTGACCCCCTCAAAGAACTCTATTAGTTTAGTAAGACACGATCTCCCTTCACAGAAACCATATTGACTTTTGTGTATCAATTTATGTTCTTGTAGGTGTCTGACAATTTTATTCTTTACTATTGTTTCAACTAATTTTCCTGGTATTGATGTAAGACTTGCCGGTCTGTAATTGCCAGGATCACCTCTAGAGCCTTTCTTAAATATTGGCGTTACATTAGCTATCTTCCAATCATTGGGTACAGTAGCTGATTTAAAGGACAGGTTACAAACCATAGTTAATAGTTCCACAATTTCACATTTGAGTTCTTTCAGAACTCTTGGGTGAATGCCATCTGGTCCTGGTGACCTGTTACTGTTAAGTTTCTCAATTAATTCCAAAACCTCCTCTACACTTCAATCTGTGACAATTCCTCAGATTTGTCACCTACAAAAGATGGCTCAGGTTTGGGAATCATCCTAACATCCTCAGCTGTGAAGACTGAAGCAAAGAATTCATTTAGTTTCTTCGTGATGACTTTATCATCTTTAAGTGCTCCTTTTGTATCTCGATCGTCCAGGGGCCCCACTGGTTGTTTAGCAGACTTCCTGTTTCTGATGTACTTAAAAAACCTTTTGTTATTACCTTCTGAGTTTTTGGCTAGCTGTTCTTCAAACTCCTTTTTGGATTTTCTTATTACATTTTAAAATTTAATTTGGCAGTGTTTATGCTCCTTTCTACTAACCTCACTAGGATTTGACTTCCACTTTTTAAAAGATGCCTTTTTATCTCTCACTGCTTCTTTTACATGGTTGTAAAGCCACAGTGGTTCTTTTTTAGTTCTTTTACTGTGTTTTTTAATTTGGGGTATACATTTAAGTTGAGCCTGTATTGTGCTGTCTTTGAAAATGGTCCATGCAGCTTGCAGGGATTTCCCTCTAGTCACTGTACCTTTTAATTTCTGTTTAACTAACTGCCTCATTTTTGCATAGTTCCCCTTTCTGAAATTAAATGTCACAGTCTTGGGCTGTTGAGGTGTTCTTCCCACCACAGGAATGTTAAATGTTATTA